TTAAGCAGGCTTCACCAGATCTGAGAAAAGGCCTTTGTTTTTCACCTTTTGTGTCTGTGTCTCATCCACACCTTTTGTGGGCAATTTCTGTTGACATGAAGAGGTGGGTCAACCTGCTCTGCCAGAGTTCGAACACTTTCCATCCGTTTTGTGATCCATCAAGTGCACGTCTTAGTTTTGTTTACATCATAAGCTAAAGGGGAATCTATTTTGAACTACAGCAGGCTGTCTCTGTTTGCAGTGGCTGAGGTTCTTTCTCTGACGTGATGAAGACTCAACATGATAGATGCACTAAAAAAAATTATTCTGTAGAAATACAGGAAGTGGATATGGAAAATATGATGCATAAGAAAAGTAGTTTTTCAAAAACCATCAAAGTACAATGTCATACAATGTTAAATAACATTCTGTTCTTTATGTTTTCCTTCATTACCATTTATTTTCATTTTGCACAGTTTCCATCCTGCAGCCGATGTGTGACGGCAAGTACTTTAGGGCTGTTTTGTTAAGGGTTGTATATCAGGATGTCTTGTGCCTGTGAACATTTCCAAAGACCACAAGCTGTATGCCGTAATTTGAGTATGAGTATGTTCCCCTGGTGTCGGTGCAAGTTTTTTGGCTTGGCTGTAAGTGTGTGGGTGGTTGTGAAAGGCAGTGCTCGACCGTGTGTTTGTGTCTGTGAGGTAACTCTTATTGTAATGTCAGTCTTCACTACTCAGACTGCTTAGATAGGAGAGTCTCACATGCTCCAACAGGCAGATTTGGGAACAGTGTGAGGAAATGGACAAATAGAGGAGTTTACTCTCCCTGAGAGAGAAAGAAGGGGAGAGAGGGAGGTTTTACAGAAGGGAAAGGGGAGGAGTTTTCCTCGGCTGAGTTACCACAGTGACAGACAATCTCAGTGTGTGTGTGTGAGTATCTCACAGGGTGTTTTTGGTTTTTCCTCTCACATGCTGTCAGCATTACCACGGAGGGTCTTCGGAGACTGACTGTTTTCTGATTAGCGTGATCCTGTAGGACTGAAGACTGTGGGTCAGTGGAGAGCTGCTGTAGTCCTGATACTGCAGATCTACTAAAGGTAAGTGACTCTCAGATTGAACAATTAGTTTCTCTCTTTCCACCTGTTTCTGGAATTCTGCCTGTCCACTTGCTCAGCCTGCAGTCACAGCTCTCCATGCCCGAGCAAGTCTTCCTGACAGTTTCTTTCCCCCACTTTTCTTCTGCATGCCTTTACTGTGTCTTCCCCTCCCTTAATCTCTGTACTAATTTTCCCCTCTCTCTCTGAATTTGGGTTTAAAATCTGAATAACTTGGACTTTTTAACAAAGAAATGTGCAAATGTATATTGTAGGTATTGTAACTGGTCACCATTTTGCACCCCCCCCCTCGCATTTTTAATCACCTTTTTTACAGTTCACATAATAGTCCTGCAATGTAACAACAATTGATTTTTATTACAGATATTTTGTACATACATCAATCAATTTAAAGACTTCTTTGACATTTTTTGTCAACTTTCCATTTAAAGTGACAACAGATAAATTACTCAAAATACTATACTCCTAGATTAGTGGTTCTCAACCCGTTTGACTCCAAGGCCCCCCATTGAGCACAACAATATTTATATTTTATTTATTTGATACCACCACATGATGTTTTCCGTTGGTCATTGATTTACTGAATAGTGTTTTTAAATGTTTTTCTCAATTTCTAAACTAAAAATAACTAAAAATAAATATCCATTATTAAATTGCCCATGGAGTTTATTAGGATTTTATTATTTTACATAACTTTTAAAGGTCTAAAATTGCACTTTTAAAATTAGGTTATTTTTTTTTAGCTTAATCTAATGTTTGTGTTATTTTAGATAATTTTAAGTCATCTTGGGGCCCCCTGAAGTTCCTGGACACTGGGCCTCTGGTTGAGAACCACTGATATATGTAATGTTGGACCATCCTTATATTTTAAACGTGTTTGTTCTGTACTAATATAAATGTATTTTTGACTTAATATGTGTAAACTTATTTTTGACTTATGTATGTGTCCATACAGAGAGTGATAGGTGGCGTTAGTGTTGTGCTGGAATGTGTGTGTGTGTGGACAGATGCCTGCACAGCTCAGTATTTTTGTTTTAAATAGCCCTGTTAAGAGTTTGTGTGCCATGACTGCGATGAGTTCACACACCATTAACCTCACACACATAAAGAAGACCGTTCTTACATCAGCTAGGTCAATGAGGAGTCCAGATGAATGGCTGTTGAACTTTTAGACGTGGCAGGATGAATGTGACTTTGTTGATTTAATAGTGCTGCAGCCCCTGTTTGACACCTCAGTCTAACCGGCTTGTAATAGACACAGGCCTTGCACTCTTAACAAAGCATAGGAGGACCAAACTGAACAAATTCTTCAGTTTTGGATTCTCATCATCATCTGTCTGCTATGTAGCAAAGCTGAAGCCAGAGTAGGATGTCATAGTAAATACATACCCCTGACTGTCTTTTATTTCCCAAGAAGTCCTGAACTGACAAACATAGGTTGCCCCACCAGATCCAAGTTACCCTGGACTGAGCCCTTTTGAATTTCTGCTTGTATTTCTGTTTTAATGCTGATTTATTTGTTAAGATGATGCATTGCATTATCATTAAGAGGGTCAATTGGTGAAGGCTTACTGCTCTGAATTATGTTGAGACCCCTTTGTGAACCCTGTTCTAATGTGTACAGTGCGGTGCCGTCACGGCTAGGTGCGTCTATGCACTACAACTGGACCTGAAGCTACAATGTCTGACCCAGAGGGCACTGAAAGTGTGGGAAACATACCTTCAATGTCCCTCTGTCCAGCAGACTTCTTTTCAACAGCACAAAATGAGCGATTAATCTTATGTCCAGCACTGAAAATATTATGGAAAAAGATGTATAAGTCTTACTCAGTGAGAAGTATGTTTTATTATGGGAACTTTGTTGCAGGGAAATTGTGGAGGCACATTAAATTATTTATGTTGTTTGAGGCCATTTGTTGGACTGCCAGCACCAATTGAAGTAATCACAGATTGGCCTCAAAATAGATGTGTACAACCCTTTAACATTTTTATCAGTGTCATGTGGGCAAAATTAGCGCTGCCTTGTAGAGCCGTCACTATTCACAGGGCCAGAACTAAATGTTTATAGGTGGGCCCCCTCTCTGTAATAGAGGACCCACCTCATAGGGCCTCGGACAACTGCTGCCTGGTATTAGGGGTGATTAGAAGTCAGATTCTTTTGCTTGAAATGAACAGAGAGGGAAAAAAAGTAGGGACAGACACAGGCACAGAATATTACAGTTTGTCTGTACTGGACAATAGTGAATGCATTGCTCTTAAACTTCAATTTCCTCTGCTGAAGCTTCAATCATCTGCCTTCTCCTATCCCAATACGCATGTGCTCATGCATTGCTTAGACGCAGATATGAGAGAGAGAGAGATTGACTGCTTGGCTAACAGAGGTTTTCTGTGATGCTTAGCCCTGGATCTGGATTGTCTGATTTTCATAACCTCAGGTTAAACTCTTCACTTTTTTTATTCAAATCAAACGCATATCCTCTCTCTCACATTTTTTCTTTCTCTCAGAATATCATGTGTTTCATGTTTAAATTACAAAAACAGTCTGGTGATTTCCCCAGTGATGGTATCTAGGTCTCATTCGGTTTGCATAACATGTTGGCTGTAGGTGAATCCTTTGGCTCAACGGGGAAGATGAAGTGGGTTCACAGAACTGCAGGCGGGTCCAGAAAAGAGTGAGCGTTTGCACTCCACCTAAGAGGGATTATATATTGAAATTGAGAGTTGATTCGCTCAGAGTGTGTTATATTTATTTCAGTAATGTTTTATTTAGTTTGATAATGTTGCCTGACACCTTGAACAGCCAACAATTCCTTGAACAGGATTACAAGAAGTTTCACCCATAGTCATTAATTCAGAAAGGGGAAGCTTGGATGAAAAAGTGACCTTAAGTCATCTTTACACATTTATTTATTTGTCTTTTGCAGGATGGCAGTTAGATAGAAAGAATATTTTGGACTCTTCTCCTGGTGGACAGACTGTAATATTTTGCAGAAAACCTCAACTCTTGTTTATAGCCACATGTTGCTCAGTTTCTCCACATCGTTTATGAATGTGATATCTGATAAGAACAAGCAGAGTGTTAAAACAAACAGATGCTCATGTACCCTAGATCTGGTTTAAATCTCTCCTGCGTCACAATGTCTTGTTGTTTCCTGTTGTCTCATTTTCATTTAGTGAACCACCAAAGGATCTGTCTGTATCCATTTTTCTGCCCAAATAATAATGTTTCAGATAACAAAATAAAGATAGAAGAAACTAAACGATGAAAGTGGGTAGAGATGAAGAGAAAACCGGGCCAAGATAATAGCACCGAATTTAGTGACTAAATCCACATATATTTAAAGCTCAGTTGGGCTTGGGTGGACCTGCTCAATCCCGCTCTGATGTAACACTGAGACTCTCAGCACATGTTACTTACGGCGCTTTTCCTGGGTACAGTACCTGGTACCTGGTACTTTTTTTAGTACCACCTCGGTTGGGGTTCCAAGTGAACCGTGTGAAAACTTGACGTGTAAACTCTGCTGATCACGGATTGGCCGGAGAGAATCGTCACTACCTGCGTCACTGAACTTGCGACACAAACACAGCCAGCGAATGATCGAACGCAACCGTTTTGAACGAGCGTACCTTTTTTTAACAACCTAAAAGTTTTGTTGTCTGATGTGGAAGAACAGACGTTCCTCTCGTTGATAGCAGAGGAGCGGATCCAGCGAGAGATTGATGGGGATACGCGGAATGAAAAAGTTTATTTTAGGAGTCGTGGTAGTAGAGGCAGCACAACTATTATAACGACATGTGAATAATCCCGCCCACTCTAAAGCGGTACTGAACTGCAGTGGAAACGCAAACCATGCCGAGCCGAACCGTGCCGTGCCGTGCCGTACTGAACCGTACCGAGCCGAGACGTACCACGCAGTGGAAAAGCGCCAATAGTCTCCTTCTCTTCATCCGTGTCAGCCGGTGGTTAAGAGAAGTCAAAACATGTTTTCTGTTAGTCATTAGGTTCATTAGGTTGAATAATTTAGACATTGGTGTATGTGTGTTTCATTTAATCACCATAATCTGTATTTATCCTCTCATTCGTCAAAAAATAATGTCTGTAAATCATTTATATGGTGTGAGAGGCCTGCTGGGATAATATAACATGAATCCTTTATGGTTCTGAACCAGAGGGCCGAGGCACTTAGGGCACTTCAGAAAACATCCTCAAGATTGCTTAAAATTATTTAAATTAAGACAAAACAAGTAATAAAATGAGCTAAAACAACTAAAAATCAAGATATTTATTTATCTCTTTATTTTTTGTTTTGTTTTTTCTTTAAAGAACCAGGGTTCCCATGGTTTTGGAAATCCTAATTTTGATTAATTAAAGATTGCTAGACCTAGAAAAGCCATGTAAATTAATAAAAGCTTAATGCTCCATGCCAAGCTCTAAAATATTTAATCAGGTAGAAATTGTGAGTGAAAAATATATATTTTTCTTAACATCATTTTAAAAAATATATATTATTTCGTTCAAAAAGTTTGAGAGCCAGTGGTCTAGGGGAAATACAGTAGTCAACATTTGAAGTGGATCAAAACCTTTGATCAAAGTTGTCCTAAAACCAAAAATGCGTTCTTGTCTTAGGAAGACAATGTGAACTTTTTTGATCCACTTTAAATGTTGACTACTGTAGACTAGCCATTGGAGGCAATCCTAGCAAGGTGTCAGATTAAGGATGTCAAAGGAGAGTTCCCATTTTGGCTGATGGAAAATGGAGACAGAGCAGGACACTCCGAGTGTAGGGGTGTGCCATTCTATGTGTTTCAATCAGTTAGCTTATTAATCAGTGCACTGCCCAGTAGTCATGTTGCAGGAAATTGAGTCATCAGTGACCCCATATTTAGTAGATCAAGGTCCTTGCTTTTGCCTGAATTTATTTTCGGGATATAAAGATGAATGAGACTCAGTGTAGGAATACACACACGGTAAAGCAGCATACAGACGCACCCTTCTGATTAGTCACAGGTGAGTCATTAGGGCTCCACCTGTTAGTGAGTTTCTATCCTTAAATCACATTAATTCTTGCTTAATTCAACTACAACTACAGATTCTTATCTGATTTACAGATTTACAAGTAAAAAACAGATTGCTTAACGTTGTGTGTAAAAAAGTAAAGTAATTTGGGGTGCATTTTTTGTATGCTGTGGTTGTATGTGATATCAGTGAAGTATGTTGGTCACCATCACTGTGGCATTCCATCCCACAGTGGCCTGCATCCCATCTAGGCCCATCATTCTAACAGACATTGTAAATAAATATGCTGGAGGGTTATCATTGCTATTTTTGAAGGAAACTCATTTTCTTTGAAGGCTATGGATAATTTATCCTCAGTGTGTTGAAGCTGAGGTTAGGGGTTAATGATGTTGGTGAGTCTTACTTAATGGCTTATGGCTGAACTCTCTGAAACACTGATGTGTACTAATAATCTCCTTCTACAGTATTTTACACACATTTTACATGCTTTGGTGTCAGTGAATTTGGCCGAGGCCCGCTAGGGCACTTCAGAAAACATCCTCAAGATTGCTTAAAATTATTTAAATTAAGACAAAACAAGTAATAAAATGAGCTAAAAAAACTAAAAATCAAGATATTTATTTTTTGTTTTGTTTTTTCTTTAAAGAACCAGGGTTCCCATGGTTTTGGAAATCCTAATTTTGATTAATTAAAGATTGCTAGACCTAGAAAAGCCATGTAAATTAATAAAAGCTTAATGCTCCATGCCAAGCTCTAAAATATTTAATCAGGTAGAAATTGTGAGTGAAAAATATATATTTTTCTTAACATCATTTTAAAAAATATATATTATTTCGTTCAAAAAGTTTGAGAGCCAGTGGTCTAGGGGAAATACAGTAGTCAACATTTGAAGTGGATCAAAACCTTTGATCAAAGTTGTCCTAAAACCAAAAATGCGTTCTTGTCTTAGGAAGACAATGTGAACTTTTTTGATCCACTTTAAATGTTGACTACTGTAGACTAGCCATTGGAGGCAATCCTAGCAAGGTGTCAGATTAAGGATGTCAAAGGAGAGTTCCCATTTTGGCTGATGGAAAATGGAGACAGAGCAGGACACTCCGAGTGTAGGGGTGTGCCATTCTATGTGTTTCAATCAGTTAGCTTATTAATCAGTGCACTGCCCAGTAGTCATGTTGCAGGAAATTGAGTCATCAGTGACCCCATATTTAGTAGATCAAGGTCCTTGCTTTTGCCTGAATTTATTTTCGGGATATAAAGATGAATGAGACTCAGTGTAGGAATACACACACGGTAAAGCAGCATACAGACGCACCCTTCTGATTAGTCACAGGTGAGTCATTAGGGCTCCACCTGTTAGTGAGTTTCTATCCTTAAATCACATTAATTCTTGCTTAATTCAACTACAACTACAGATTCTTATCTGATTTACAGATTTACAAGTAAAAAACAGATTGCTTAACGTTGTGTGTAAAAAAGTAAAGTAATTTGGGGTGCATTTTGTATGCTGTGGTTGTATGTGATATCAGTGAAGTATGTTGGTCACCATCACTGTGGCATTCCATCCCACAGTGGCCTGCATCCCATCTAGGCCCATCATTCTAACAGACATTGTAAATAAATATGCTGGAGGGTTATCATTGCTATTTTTGAAGGAAACTCATTTTCTTTGAAGGCTATGGATAATTTATCCTCAGTGTGTTGAAGCTGAGGTTAGGGGTTAATGATGTTGGTGAGTCTTACTTAATGGCTTATGGCTGAACTCTCTGAAACACTGATGTGTACTAATAATCTCCTTCTACAGTATTTTACACACATTTTACATGCTTTGGTGTCAGTGAATTTGCATGCACAAATTATAACCCAGTATGTACGAATTCATACATTTCATACATTTATTTCGTTTTTTTTTAGTTATTATTATTGTGCATGTCTATTTTTATATTGCCTACAGCAGTTTGATAAGAGCATTTAGTTATTTATTTGCAACATGAAATATTTGTTACTGTCATAGCTTTTTTCAGCTTAAAAAGAGCACTGACTTGTTCAGCCTGTGTGTGTTGTTCCTCAGCAATCTGTATAATGAACACTTCAGTTCACTACCTTCACAAAAGGTTTCATTTAAACCACAAACCTCTCACGTGTGTCCCAGAATCATTTAAACTGTGTTGAGGGTGTGTTTACTCATGTCATACATAAAAACGCAGATGTTTACTCAATAGGTAACCTGCAGAGCACCTAATGACATCTCACATAATTTGTTGATTTTACCTTACCTCAGCTTAACTCAAAGAAGCATTGTGCTTTATTAGATTTATGCTCTGGTTTTATTTAACTATTCAGAATACAGGTGCACTTGAGAGCACGTGTGGACTTATTATTTTCAGTGAGGATTACTTGTGATTATGTCCACAAAAGCACGTCTAGCTGTGGTTAACCATCTATTCAATAGACACTTAGTGCACAAATAGATTAAAGTTTATAGAACTGAAGATGAACTACTCTGATGTAAGGAGATTTGGTAAGTAGGCCTAGTTATTTAAAAGATACTACACTTAATACAAGCACAGTCTCCTCTAGAGACACACAAATATTCTCTAGGAAAGGGTTATTGTTTTCTCCTGTCGTCTTTCACTTGTTAATGCCACACATTGAAATGAAGCTGACAAAATATGTGTTCCATTTCATTCCATATTTCAGAATTGTGTTCCATTTTAATTAAGTAAATTCAACAAGTAGAAAATACTAAAGCATCAGATTGCTTTTGATATGACATCAGAATGTGATTTTGGTGGAATGATTATGATGGCACATTTTTAATCTTGTCTTTGTTGAGGCTGTTGCTGACAGGCGCACGGAGCGGCAGTGATTTACAGAGCTAAAGTCAATATTTAAGACAGGTGTAATGCCATCAGTCAGTCATGGTTTTATCTGGAGGAAATCCTCTCTCACAATGGACTAAAAAAGCGCACCTTTATGCTTATGCTGAAGAATAAATGTTTGTGTGAAATCTTTTCCAATTGCAAGATTTTATACTTTTGAGTAAAAATACATATGTGTTTGTGGTGGGTGGTAGTCCCTGTCCTTCTGTTGACCTTGATATTTGAGATACTGGATTTGAGTGAATAAAGATCCCAGTTAACTAGGGGTTTGCCATATCATACGGTCCACGATAATACCGGTATAAATTTTTACATGATAAAAAAGTGTCATAGCGCGATATCAATGATATAGCGACATGATGACGTATAGTGGATATACGTTCCCTAGTGCGCACAACAACAACACCACAAACCCAATAGGTGTGTTCGACTTGAAGCAGAGCTGCGCAGACTGATCGGTGTATGACATAAAAGTATCGCGAGAGCGGTTCTAGAGCATATTTGAGTGCACACTCTTACCAGTCCCTCCAGGATTTTGCGATTCTGCGATCGCTGAATTTATCGCAATTTCAAGCAAATTCCGCAATTTTCGCAAGAGCTTGCAAATTTTCGTAGTTGCTGCAGATTTTCCGCAGATTTTGGGCGTTTGTTTTCTTTGTTTATCCCGTGACGTCATCGCAATGCTTATTCAGTCAAAGAAAGGTTGTTTCTCAGTTCCAAAAATGGAATGAACAGCCTTGCGTTCTCATCATGACCAATTTACAAGAGCTACATTGAACAAATGAACCAAAAGCGGAACGAATCCGCGCTACTCGTTTGGGCTACGGCTGTTTATTTGCTCGGGCCAGAGCCGCGGGCTGATCTCGATCACGCGACACGTTATACACAGTGCTGGGAGATAAAGTGAAGAAAGCAGTCGAATTCGCCGCAGACTCAATAACATCTCTGTGAAATCTTGTGAGAAGCATTCAGATTCGGCGCTGAATTCTGTTAAAGCTACAGATATCAGAACAAACGCC